TCACTAGATAATTTAATGAATATGCTGACACTATTGCAGTTTTAGATTAGGCTATTGCATTATTGAATGAAGTCAAAGATGAAACATCACTTTTATAAAAGGCAGAAAATATCAAAGAGGTTTCTTAAAAGATGCATAATCAGTATGATTTATATCTATAATTTTAGTCTTAAATAATTATCTTCAAAGAGAGTGTTTTATTAACCATTAGTAAAGGCATTAACATAAATTGCTTAAAACAATTATGTTGATTAAGAAAACTTAAATAAAGTCATAAATTATATGAATCAATTAAGATAATCTTTGATTGATGGACAAACCTCATTATAAAATCAATATGATTCATAATCTAAATTACAATAAGATATCTTATCAGAAATCTAAGCTAAAATAACTGGAATTAGAGATGTCTTGATTCCTTTGTTATAAGCAGAAATTGAGACTAAGGATGGAGAAATTAAGGCACTTAATGCAATTTTGAATGATGCACGAATCAATTTGGCTGAAGCTGAAGATAATCTCTCTGCCACATAAAATAGATGGATTGAAAGGTATCATTTTTATTTTTAATTTAAGAACTGCATCACATAACACCTTAATCTAATAATACGATAATGAGTTATTAGCTATTAAGGATGCTGAAAATGCTTTAAAAAAGGGAGGCATATTTAGATAATGATATTAACACCAATAATTCCCTTCAAAATATAATATATTTATTATTAAATTTCGTTAAAATTTCAATGTTATATTCCATTCGGGAGACTGATGCAGAAGCAAATTTGTCTTCAGATTCATATACAGCGAGAAAATCTTTAAATTCTGATCTTTAAAAAAAATCATATAGTCGATCATTACCTAGATAATAATAAAATTTGGATTAGGAAATATAAAAATTAAATGATATAATTGTGTAATTAAGAAAGGTGGAATAATTGCTTATCAATCAGGTTTAAGATTTAAAAATTGAGTTAGAAGAGCAATTTAAAAATTCGAATAGAAATTAGAAATATATTGATGAATTGAATATGGAACTTTAGCAAATGTCTGATAAATTACATAATGAAATTATGCATAATGGTTAATTACAAAAGATTAATATAGAATTGAAAAAAAGTATATTAAAATTGGAATAAGAAGTAATCACAACAAATAAATTAAATTAAGATATATCTGAAGAATTGCAAATTTTAAAGTACTATTATATTAAGGAAGATCTAAATATTCCCATGAACATAAATTTATAGAATCTCTTTTGCAAATGGTGATTAGTTGCCATCCAGACAATTCATTTCGAGAACAACCTTCTCTTAAATAGACTTGGAAATGGCTTAAATTGATACTTGCTGATTATATGACACTAAAATAACAGAGTAGAAATTTTCAAGAAAACTCTGGTTAAAGTTCAAGTTCAACTAATAAATGAATTTATATTTATTTTAATATATAAAACAATTTTTCCATGAAACAACAAATTAAAGAAAAGCGTAAATAACCAATTCGTACTTGTCTTCATTAACCTTTTGAATACAATTTCAGAACATTAGATTAATATGCATCTTAAGATTTAGTCAAGAGCATTCAATAAATTATAAATGATTAAGAATTATCATAATATGTATCAACAAAAGTTGGAATAAGAAGTGCAATAAGAAAATTAAGAGCAAATTAATCTAATTTTTTGGCTTTGATATTAATATATGATTAATCGTAAAATATTATTATTATTATTTCAAGAATAACAGATATTTTAATATAAGCTTCAACTGTATTTTGGAAATATAATTAGTAAATAATATTAGCTAAAGAGGAAACAAGGTATTTTGTATTTATTAATATTATAAGGGCACATTTATAAAAGGTTATGAAGATATAAAGAATAAATTGTGTATATATGTTCACTAAAAAAGATGTAGAATTACCAGAGGATATAAAATAAAAAATATAAAAAATAACAGAATAAATGAATGTTTTTAGAAAAGAAAGTGTTTGTGAAATACCTATAATTCTTGGGGATGGTATTTATTAAATTAATTTAAGAATTGAAATATTAGACTGTTAAATTAAAGGTACCTTTAGAATAAGAAATTTAAAGAAAAAGTTTTTAGAATTATAAAGCTAATTCAAATAATTAAGAATAGAATTTAAATGTAAATAAATAATAAAAGAATAAAGGTGAAAAATCTAATAATAATTAATAAAAGAATTAATAAAAATAGGATAATAAAATAAACAATATTATTAATAACGCACCATTAGATTAATGATGGAATATTGAATTTTATAAAATATATTATTTGTATATAATATTCTTCATGCACCAAGATCTTCTTTCTTAGGCAATGGTTTAACGTAAGGAATGAAATCCTTGCCGACAAATGGTTACTAAAAATATTGTTTTAATCATTTACTAAAACAGCAGGGACTTTAACTCCAGTTTCTGTTTAATAATTCTCCAAAATACAACACAAGGTTCTTTCAGTTGCACATAATGTTGCATTAAGCATATGTACATACTTCTTCTCTTTCTCATCCCCTTTCTTAGCACCAAAACGAATTTCAAGAGCTCTTGATTAATAATCTAGACAATTTGAACAAGATTATAATTCTCTATAATCTTTATATCCTGGGAACCAAGCTTCTAAATCATATTTTTTGGCTGCAGCATCATTTAATGCTCCAGAAACTATATTGACTACTCTATAAGGTAATTCTAAAGATTTCACAAAATCTTATCCAGCAGTAATCATTTCTTCGTGGAATTTCCATGATTCTTCAGGTGGGCAAATAACAAATTGCTCAATCTTTTCAAATTGATGAACTCTGAATATTCCCCATACATCTTTACCATGAGCTCCAGCCTCCTTTCTAAAACAAGTTGAACTACCACCATATTTTATTGGTAGATCTTTAGGTTCTAACCATTCTTTTCTATACATAGCAGAAATAGGTTATTCTGATGTTGCGATAAGATAAAGATCTTCATCATCTGGATTACCAGTAACCTATCAAATTATACAAAAAATTGTTCGTACTTTGTACAATTGGTCATCAAAATCAGACAATTAAGCTGTCTCTGCCATACAAGTTTTTTTCATGAAAAAGGGTGTTTAGACTGGGGTATAACCTCTTTAATTAAGGAATTGAATTCCATAGCTTACCAAAGCTTAATTCAAAAGGAGACCTGGTCCCTTAAGGAAATAAGCTCTATGACCAGCTATTTTAGAGCCTCTCTTAAGGTCAACACCATCAATCATAAACAAGATTTCATGATGGTGACATCTGCCTGGAGTACTATTGACTTGAATGTTAGGAATTTAGCCCCATGTTACTTCAATTTTATTTTGAGCTTCATCCTTTGATACTGGTACTGATTCATGTACTAAATTTCCAATTTTGTTAAGTGTTTAGGTTAAGATTTTCTCTTATTCTTATTCAATCTAGATATCAGATAAAATGTCTTACTTTTTAAGCTTCTTTAATTTTAAGATCTATTTCTTTAGCTTATTCTACTTCCTCAACACATGGGTCTTATTTATTGGCTTTTTTCTTTTCAGCAATCTTCTTGTTGGCAATACCATATTCTTTGTTGAGTTGATCAAGATTAAATCTTGCTAAAAAATCATTTAAAAACTTGAGTACCTTTTCTCCATTCTTAATCAAGAGCTATAACCTTATCAACTATTGCTGGATCTTAAAATCTCTTTTAACACCATTCCTTCACTAAATTAGGGTTTCCACCTTTGTCTTCTCTTAATAAATTGATATCTAATCCCATTGAATATTTAATTTTTGGAAAATGACTTTAAAAAAATATTCGAAATGCTCTTATTATCATATATATTTATTTAAATTTCTCAATTTCTCTTGGCCTTCTTGCTTGGTTGGGCAGTTGGTGTTACTCCCTTTGATTTTCCGGTTGTTTTGGAATCTGCTGGAACACAAGTATTGCTTGATGAAGCACCAACAATCAATAAAGCACCAGCAATACCTAATGTCCATAATGATTAGATTTATTCTGATAATTTTTCACTATTTATAAATGTTTATTAAAATTACGCTTATGTTGTTCCATGAATAAAGGGGTTGTGAATAACAGCAACAAATGATAAAGCTAATAAAGACAACAATTTTCCTGCCCATGCTAAATTAAAAATGACGAGTAAGCCCAAAAGCACTTCAGCACCACCTACTCCTAAAATGATTTCCATTGATTATTCCTTGATTGATGTGGGCGACTAAAAATAATAAGAAAATATCTTACTAATTAAACTGGAAGTTGAACATTGTATTATTTTGTTGTAGTTTCCAAATGTTTATAAAAGGCTGGATATCTACTATTCAATAATCCAATAGAAGATTGTGGTTAAGTTAATTTGTCTACTCCTGCACCAATGAAAATGACAGCCAACAAAACTCTTCCAATGAATGAGCAGCAACTCATTTTATTAAATTTAAAGATTTTTTTATTATATAGTAATACACGTATATACATTATTTTAATAAACTCATATCATTAAACTTCCTATTCTTCCCATTGTGAATATTATTTCTAAAAAACAATATTCTCCAATTCCTTAATATGATTTCATTAAAATAATTCCTATTTAAATAATACTAGCCCAAGTTTTTCCAAAAAATATAAATGTAGCCAACATTATTTATAAAAAACCCAACCCTTAAATAAATGTGATTACAAAGAATTTATAATTTTATTCTCCAGAAAAAGGATTATTCTATATTATATATTAAATGCTATTTCATACATCTTCAGAAAAATTCTCGATAAAAAATTATTCACCTAATCTCCAAATTAATTAATGATGATTTATAAAATTGGATAACACTTTTATAGGTAAATCTATCATTTGCATTCCTTCCCAAATCAAAATTAGACATGTAAACAGTTTTCCAATAAATATTTATAATTTCATACTAATTATTATTTTATTTTCATAAGAATTATTTAAAGTATTAATCTACAAAAATTAATCATAAAATCAAAAGAAATCCTCAATATTATCATGTAAATCTTATGTCCTTTTAACACATTCATTTATTTATCTCTCAAACTTCAAAAACTTTTCATCATTAACTTGATTAAGTAATAAAGTAGATAAGAAACTTTTATATAATTATTCTAAATTGATTTTCAACTCTTCTGCTTACTTTTATAAAGCCTTTTCAGCAATTTTTCTATCAGGATCTTCAACCTATTGAATAGGTCTAAGTTTAAAATAATTCAAGCCATTCAAAATTAAATTAGCAGCTTTAGCAGTCTTCGAGATTTAAGTATCTGTATCAGATAATCTAGATGAGTCTAGATTATTATTGCCTTCAACTATTAATGTTTTAGTAAAACTTTGATTAAGAATAGGTACTTGATTTTATTGAGAATTACTTTTAGATTATTTCTATAGTTCTTATATTTCAGATTATAGTTATTTTATAGTTATATCTTAATCATTAATACGCTAATATATTTATAGTCAAAATTACTTATTTTTAAATACAATTTTATTATTCTAAACGATTAATTTCACTAAATGCAACTGCTCTTCTTTCTTAATGTTATTAATTTGTAAGTTTTAATTCTTGCAATTCTTATTAAAATGAATTAATCTAAATTTTCATTTCTACAATAAGCTACTTTTAGTCGTTGATTTTTTAAGTTGATCTAAATATAACATATATGAATTACTCTGAAAGAAGTTAATCTAATTTCGATAATTCTAATTCTTTTTCCATTAGAACTTCTGTATTATAATTGATTTATTATTTAGAATTATCTTATTCTAATTATTATGTAAGTTGTGTTATTTATTCTTCTAATTAGACTATTTTAGTTTAAGATTCTATTTCAGTCTATTATAATTGTAATTTAAGTTTTTTGAATTTTTCTTTTTATTTATCTAGAACTTCTTTATCCTGCTTTCTTTTATCTTTGATTACTTCCAATTACTTCTAGTATAAATTATTTTCTTCAAATAATTTGGTTGCTTCTGCTTTATATTAAATCATTTCTTTTTCAATTCTTGCCATCTATTTATTATTATATTATTTATTACTTCTTTAAATTTTTATTCATATTTAATCTCTTCTTAATTAAGCTTACTTTCCAATTCTCTAAGTTTATTATTTAATTATTCTTTGTCTTTATTTTATTATTAAGTATTATTTTATATTTATGTTGTTAATTTAGTATTTTCTATTTATAATTTTGATATTTATTTTTAAAGCTCATTAATTGAATCAATAAATTCATTTTTTAATTTTTCATTCTCCTCTTCTTTAAAATCATTTACTCTACATATATCTTATTAAAATTCTAGATTTTTCATTTAAATTTCCTACATTTAGGATTCAAGAACTTTTTTTTCATTAATAATTATTTCAATTTAATTATTTAATTGATTGATTATTTATTATTAGTTATTTCTTTAATTGATTATTTTTTCTTTATGTTATTTTTCTATATCTAAAGCTGTACTTAAATCTTAATTCTCAGATTATAAATTTGAGACCGTTTATATAGTTTTTTCAATTTACTCTTTTAAGTGTTGAATCTCTTCTGATTGTAATTATTTGTTTGATTAAACAGGTAAATTATCTACAAACATATTAATTGAATCATCAATTTGTTAAAGTAATTCATCTAATAAATTATTAGACACTTAAATTATTAAATTATATAAATACATTCAATTTCATCTTTAAATCCCATTATATGATTATAGTTATCTAAAAAGTCCTTCATAATATCTTTAATTGTAACAAATAATGATTCTTTTAATTCATGACATTTTTTATCTTAAAATTCTTTTGGCAATTACATCTTCTATTATGCTTAAATTTATTATTTAAGCTTTGTTAATTCTTTATTTAATTTATCTTTCTCTTAATATTCATATTCATATTTTTTAAGAATTTCCATTTAACTCATTTTATATTATTCAATTTCATCCATCAATTATTTTCTCTCTATCTATAACAATTCAACTTTCTAGAATAAAGGTTCAATCTCTAATTTTTGTTAATCATAACTAATAATTATTTAACTAAAATACGCTTTTTTAAGATCTTGAATATACTATTCTTACTTAATAGATTATTCATTTGCTTTCTTTTGATCATAGTGATATTTCTTATGAGTCAATTAATCAAAATCTAAGTACTAATTTGGAGCTTTCTTTTAATCTTTTTTAATAAGAGATGACATTAATCAATTAATTTGTTACAATAAAATTATTGTATAATAAAATTTATAAAGCCTTTCATATATCACTTTCATTTCTCTACATTAAATCATGTCTAAGATTATTCCTATTTAAAGTTAAAGATGATTTAAACAGAGGTCACAACTTATCAATAAACTAATTATTATTAAAGTTTTAAAGAGTAAATAATTACTAGAAAAATTATAGATAATGGACTTAAATTTATTAAATATTATTTTATATGATGGAATACTTTATAAAAAAATAGAAATTAATTTATTTCATTTCTGATGTAATAAATTTTAAATACAAACTAGAAGATATTTAAATATTAAAGTAAAATCATTATTACAATGAGTCATACCTTATTTATATAAATTTAAAGAGTACAATAATTAATAAATTATAAAATTTACAATTATACATGCTTTATACCATTCCTAAATATTTGACTGCAAAATACAACAATCATGGTTGTGAAACGATTGAATCATTTGAAAACACTTACAAAAATGACCTTATTCAATGGTATTGATTTTAATTCAATCACTTTTTTAAGCAGCATTGTCTAAGTGTTGCTTTTTGCTCTTACACTATATANGAATCTCTTCTGATTGTAATTATTTGTTTGATTAAACAGGTAAATTATCTACAAACATATTAATTGAATCATCAATTTGTTAAAGTAATTCATCTAATAAATTATTAGACACTTAAATTATTAAATTATATAAATACATTCAATTTCATCTTTAAATCCCATTATATGATTATAGTTATCTAAAAAGTCCTTCATAATATCTTTAATTGTAACAAATAATGATTCTTTTAATTCATGACATTTTTTATCTTAAAATTCTTTTGGCAATTACATCTTCTATTATGCTTAAATTTATTATTTAAGCTTTGTTAATTCTTTATTTAATTTATCTTTCTCTTAATATTCATATTCATATTTTTTAAGAATTTCCATTTAACTCATTTTATATTATTCAATTTCATCCATCAATTATTTTCTCTCTATCTATAACAATTCAACTTTCTAGAATAAAGGTTCAATCTCTAATTTTTGTTAATCATAACTAATAATTATTTAACTAAAATACGCTTTTTTAAGATCTTGAATATACTATTCTTACTTAATAGATTATTCATTTGCTTTCTTTTGATCATAGTGATATTTCTTATGAGTCAATTAATCAAAATCTAAGTACTAATTTGGAGCTTTCTTTTAATCTTTTTTAATAAGAGATGACATTAATCAATTAATTTGTTACAATAAAATTATTGTATAATAAAATTTATAAAGCCTTTCATATATCACTTTCATTTCTCTACATTAAATCATGTCTAAGATTATTCCTATTTAAAGTTAAAGATGATTTAAACAGAGGTCACAACTTATCAATAAACTAATTATTATTAAAGTTTTAAAGAGTAAATAATTACTAGAAAAATTATAGATAATGGACTTAAATTTATTAAATATTATTTTATATGATGGAATACTTTATAAAAAAATAGAAATTAATTTATTTCATTTCTGATGTAATAAATTTTAAATACAAACTAGAAGATATTTAAATATTAAAGTAAAATCATTATTACAATGAGTCATACCTTATTTATATAAATTTAAAGAGTACAATAATTAATAAATTATAAAATTTACAATTATACATGCTTTATACCATTCCTAAATATTTGACTGCAAAATACAACAATCATGGTTGTGAAACGATTGAATCATTTGAAAACACTTACAAAAATGACCTTATTCAATGGTATTGATTTTAATTCAATCACTTTTTTAAGCAGCATTGTCTAAGTGTTGCTTTTTGCTCTTACACTATATATATATTTAATTAATTGTGGTAATTTTTAGGGTTAAGAAATAAAATATAAATGAGATTGCTGTCAATTCAAAAAAGATAACTACATTTATTATGCGTATGTATCTCCATGATTTACTTGTTGAAAGATCTAGTTATGCTTTAAAAGATGAAAATCCTAAGTATATAGCTATTGTATGATAAGATTCCCTTCAATAAATGAAGATATCAAAGTTGTGTGTTTAGTTCGTAAAAGGCGTTCACATGAAGAAGAGAAATTACATTTAGAATAGGTATACATAATATTATAAAAATGATAAGAAATTACTTTCTAAAATTTGTATTATTGATTAAGATGATATATTTGATAAATTTTGTTTACAAGGGTCATTAGAAGAAATAATAAATTTATTAATTGAATGTTCTAATGGATTAGCATTTTCTTCTTAACCAAAGGTAACATTAAATACGATTGCTAAATAATATATTGTTAATGATGCTATTTGGTTTAATCCTAAAACATTTTAGACATGTGCTGGTTGGGTAATAAATGAATTTGAAAAAGCTATAGCTTTGATGTACAAATTTATTTATAATTTAGATTTTATTAAAGTTAATAAGGAAATTAAAATGATAACAATCCAATTTAAAATGATGATCTAAAAAAATATTGGATGAATAATGTTGATGTTAAATATAAAATCCTTCATTAGATACCATAAATATGTAAAGAATTTAAGAATGCACCTAAAAAGAAAAATACAAAATAGGAAGATATCTTATGGGCATAATTAATAATGAAAAAACCTATATTTTAAGAAGATGGATAAAATATATGTGATAAAAATACTATCATTTTATAATAATAATAAATAAATGAAGAAGAAATTAATTAAATATTTGAAAATAATAATTTTGATGATATTTACTGTTTACCTTTAGAAAAATTTATATTACTATAATCTTTTTGTGAAAAAAGAGTTTTAAGAATGATAAGAGATTAATTTAAAGAAAAATTGGTAAAAGATCTTTAAGAAATAGAATGTAAAGAAAAAAAGAAGACTAAAGATTAAAAAAAGAAATCTAAAAAGCATAAAAAGTAAAAAAACAAAAATGATAAAGATTCATAAAAAAATCTTATATCTTAAGATAATTGTAATAGTTTTGAAATTATTGATAAATAAGATTCAACTTAAGATGATGTACATTGTACTGAATGTGAATACAATAGACATTCAAAGTATGATATATTTTAACTTTAAGTCCTTAATAAGATAATAAGAAAATAGATTGTTTAACTACTCATCTTGATAAAAAAGATACTAATATAATAGTGCCATCCAAATTAACAGAAATTATTTAAGATATAGATATAAATGAAAATTAATAAAATGATGATGAAGATAATTGGGTTATCATTACAGGACCAAAGAAATAAAAAAATAAAACATAAAGAAAATTTGCTACATCTTATGATCTCCAATTTAAAAAATCTAATTAATCTAATTAAATTACTCCAATATAAAAACATACACCTATTAAAACAAACTAATTTAATTATTAATAAACTGATATTTAAGATTAAGATAAACAGAACTATTTTAATAGAAATAGTTTACAATCAAATACTTAAAAAATATATTCTTAATAAATTTTAACTCCTTAAAAAAAAGAGACAAAATCATAATAATCAATTATTGTAGATAATAAAAAATAAAATAAATCTTTAGAAAATCCAATCATGAATAAAATAGATGATAATATTATAATTAAACCATTATAATAAATAATAAAAATATAAGAGTTGAGTCTTTGTTAAGATGAATTAATGTTTAATAATTGTAATTAAAATATTAATCAATCTTAAAATAATTTAGAACTTAATCAAATAAATAATAATGAAGATATTGATGCAATCATTATGAATTAGGCTAGATAATTGATGATTAAAAAACTTGATATGGATATGAGAGAATTTAATGATTTAATTTTAACATAAAATTAAGAAATTCTTTAAATGAGAAGATTAATTTATGATAGAATATCATTTATTATTAATTTACTCTTTAGAGGTTAGATATTTATAATATTTATATATAGATTATAATTCTACTGTTCGTCTATTTGGATCATGTGCTACTGGTTTAGCACTTCCTTAAAGTGATATTGATATTGGAATAACAGGATTTGAATTATTTCCATCAAATCAATTAAATGGACCAATATAAAAAATTATAGATTTTTTGTAAAATATGAAATGGGTCAAAAATATAAGGTATCATTAAATCTGATTTTCTAGAGCTATTACAACATCTAATATGCCTTTGATTAAACTTCAAGTTGATCCTACAATTTCCTTTGTAGATTCTTCTCATAAAATATTATTACCTTAAATTGATTTAATTCAGAAGTATTGATAATAATAATTTTATAGTTATGATAAAGATAGTTGTCCCTATCTATTTAGTGTAGATATCAGTTTTTTTTAATATTAAGGAGCTAAATAAAGTTGGCATCTAGGATAAATATCAACAGAATAAACTCTATAATGGTTGTCTTTTTATAGTGAATTAAGACCAATTGTTCTATTATTCAAAAGTTTATTAAAAAAGAGAGGATTAAATGATTAATATAAAGGTGGAATTTCTTCTTTCTGCATAATTTAAATGGTATTAGCATTTTTGGAGAATTGTTATCATTAAAATTAAGCTTCATCTATTGGATTTACTACTTATAAATTCTTACAATTTTATGGAATGGAATTTGACACTAAAAAAATAGGGATTAATTACAAAGGAGTTAATTAAGAGTAAAGATCTATTATAATTTAGTCCTTTTTTTGAATTGAATGAAGAAGATAATTAATTATAAATTACTATAGTTTCTCCAATTACAAATGAAATAATAAGTCAAGCTGGTTCATTTGTATAAACTATATTACAAGATATAAAAACTCTATTTTTGGCAGCAGAAAATGAAGTGATATTCTTTTATGAAAAATTAAAATATAATAAAAAGAAAAAAGGTAAAAAGGAAGAAAGAAATTTGTTTCAAAAAGAACTTAATAAACTTGGTCCTCTTTTTAGTATATCTACATATAATAAAACTTGATTTTAATAGTTATATATAATTTTTATTAGAATTATTAGTGTATATTAGTGAATAAAACAATTAATTACAATTTTTTTTCTTTTTCATTAAAAATTTTCTTATTGTTTGATTTTGATTAATATATCATAATCTTATCAAAAAGCATAAAATATATTGCTATAATCTAAAAGGTTGCTTTAATAATAATTTTAATGATTTTTATTCATTCAATTATATTAACTATAATATTATATTATATTATATTCACCTATGCTTATTCAAAGATGTCAATTTAAGTCCAATATAAATATTGTATATGTATATTCTAAATTATATATCATCAAAAATATTAAATTAGAATAATATCGTTCTTGTCCATGAAATTATTGATAATCATATTTCTTTAAAAAAATGTTACTTTACCTGAAAAGAATGAAAGAATATTAATTTTTTGTCTAAACAATTTATTTCATTTTCATAGATTGAAATTTTACTAAAATAGCAAACTTAATATTTTTGATCATTCGATTTTAAAATTTATCCAAAAGACTTTTTACCGTAGACAGATAAAATTCAATTTTCAACTATCTTCCATTTATTAATTAAGTTTCTCATATTTAACTTTTTTACAAAATCTGATTGTCGTTATGATTGTTCTCTTTTTTTGAGATAATATTTATATAAATTATTTAAAGTTGTTACAAAATTATATAAAAATACTTAAATAAAATTTAATATATATTTTATATCAGTTGAATTTATATAATGTATAAATTTCATTATTAGCTCAGGCAAATGGTCATCAAAATTTTGTCTTAAAAATGTATACAGGTTTTAGATGTTAATCTTCGTCATTTATAGAATCATCCTATTTTACTTAATTAAATTCAAGACTTAATTCCATTCTAGAAATTTTTTATTTAAAAAATGGGGTAAAGATTTTTGATGACAGATAATATTTAGAACTCTACCTCTTTGTAGGATATATAGACAACATTGAAGAAATCATCTCAAACATTTGTTCATTTATTTTTGTATATTTTTCCAATATTAATCCACTTAATTTAGGTATAGAAAATTTTCCTTCAGAATTATTCCTCTAAATCTCCTCCTAACTATTACCAAATGGATTTCTCCCAAATACCCTAATTTATATTATATTTTATACATTATATAAAATAGAATGCCAACCTAGTAAATATTGGTTGAAGTAGTTAGAGATTACTATGAAGAATAACTTTCAGGAGAAGCATGACCACAAACTTATCCTTTACTTCTTATTATATATTATAATAATTACAATATATTAGGCTAGCTTTATTCTAAAAATGAACTTGAAAAGTTAGTGATTTAAATTATGTTTTCTATCTTTGAATATTGTATATTTTCTAAGTCTAATTAGTTATGCACTAACTTTATTGATTCAAAATAATGAGTGACTTAAATTAATGTATATGTATATATATACCTTATAACAGTTATCTTATAATTTCTAATACTTAGCTTAATTTCAAGTTTTAAGACTCTTTTATAAGTTAATTTAAAGAGTCCAGTCTTTTTATTTTATAAGAATATGAAAATTCATTTCCATTATATTGAATTGTCTCTAATCTCATTAAATAGGGACATTTATTTTGATTAATTAACTTAAGAAGTTTTATTTCTTCTGGAATATGGTAATCTTATTTAAATTACTGTTGCTTTTGGAAAAGAATTTTCTCAAAACATTACTCATCTGAATTACACTAATCTTCCAGTTTATAAACCTAAAATAAACTATACTATAAATACAATCCCTGTGTCACTTTATTTGACAAAAGTTCTTTTCTACTTTTGGTCCTTTGATATATATAAAAATTTTCCTTTACACAAATTAAAAAGCCATTATATATGCTCTGGCTTCCCTAAAATCTTAAATTCTTCTTTTTTTATCCATAAAGAAACAGAATTGGCTTAATCTAATCTTTATTTGTAATCACCCCATTAGAATTTTATATTGTCTTCAGAAAATAACAATTCAAATAACTTTTAATTTGTGGAAGTGTTCTAATATTAAGATATACCATTTTTATACAATGCTTATACTCTCTAAATTAGGTATAATATCAATAGATAACTTTTAAGGCTTATTGTTAAAAGTCCCCACAATTTCAAAATATTAAACATACTCCATTAAAATAAAAAATAAGATATAGTTTTAATAAATTATTACTATTAGATTTATTAGTAATGATTATTAAAAGATAAATTTTTAAAATTCTATTTTTTCTATAAAGTTATTTTAGCATTTCCTAGTGTTCAAATTATAATAAAGGCATTTTGAAGTATTTCTTTCTTAAATATTCCTGAAGTATTAATATTATAAAATATAATATTACATTAATAAATCCAGTTAATATGAAGACTTATGTATATAAATTTATTCAAATAATGAAAATTAAATCATTTAATATTATTGAAATGGAGAGATATATTGGTTAAATAATCAATAAAGAAAATAAAATAATTTATCAAAAAAAGGAATCTTCATATAGGCATCTAATCATATCAATATCTTCTTAATTTTCATCATCATTATTTTATAACTAAGCATCTGTTTAATCTATTCTTTTTTATTAAACTTTATTTTCTTTTGAAATTTGAAATTAATTATTTATAATTTTAGAATTTTCTTAATTATGTATTATAATTTAATTTTAAAGAATACCAATTTCTTGATTTTTAATATTTAACTTAGAAATACATCTATCATTTTCGTTACAATTTAAACTATAGTTATAATCATTATTAAACAAACTCTCATTTTCTTTCTAATGTATAAAATCTTGAAATTTTTATTTTTTTATTTAATGATTTTAATTTGTATTAATTTTTTAATTTTTGATGACTTCAATCTGAAAATCTGATATATTGTATGTAGATTTTTCATAAATTCCTTAAGATGTTTGATTTAAATAAGCAATAAGTTATTGAGATAGAACTTTATTATTTTCATTCCATTCGTCTTTTAAGATTTATTCAAATTAAAACTGTTAGGATTCTATCTTTCGATAAAGCTTCCTTTATTAAATATTTTTTAACAATGATTTCCATAAATCACTTTTTGATAACTAAATAAATCATATATTATTATACAGTAATAGCATTACCAAGAATAAATAGAACATTTTTAGCTCTTGTCAAAGCAACATTCATTCTTCTTCCATCATTTAAAAATCCAATTCCACCTGTTTAAGAAGAACGAACACAACTAAATAATATTATATCTTTTTCTTAACCCTTATAATTTAATATTAAAAATTACTTAAAATGAATCTACAGTATTTATACTTATAGTAGTTTAATCAAAAATATTTTCATCTTAAAATTTCTATTTTAGTAATGTTTTTATATATCTCACTTATGATTTGTAAGCACAAATAACACCAATTGTTTAAGTAGGAAATTCTTCTTTTATAGATTTTATTAATTTAACAATAACAAAAGCTTCTTATTCATTAATATTCGATGTTCCATCTCTTTATTCCAATCCATCAATTACATCTAAGAATAACACTCTATTTTTAAAGAACTTTTTTGGTATACATCTTAAATTAGTTGACTAATGATCTTTTAATTTATTCTAATAGAAATACTCTGATGGAAACATTCTGATCTCAGAATGCATTCTATATTATATATCTAAGAAATAAGGTTTAAAATTATTATCAAGAATCCTTTCAAATAGACTTCTATTATATAAAGTTTAATGAGAAATTGGTGAAAATGTTGTAGCAGGTAATTATTTAGGATCACCTATTAAAATCATCTTTTATATTCCTAATCTTAAAGGTATTATATTTGATGGTTCAGTACATTAAGCTGCTTCATCTACTATCAATAATTCTATTTAATCTAAATATTTAGATAATTTATCAGAACCACTTGAACTTAGAGTACTACATATGATTTCAGCATCATTTAATAATTTTTCACAAAATTAATTATAAAATTCTTTATAAAATCTTTTATTATCTTTTGTTTTATCTAAGTATTCTTATTTAGTTTTTCTCAAATCATTAAATTAAATAATTTGCTCTTTTATTATCTTTCTTTCATCACTAGGTAAACCATGCTAATTCAATTTCTTTTCTAATTTCTTTATATGATTCTAAATCTAACATAATTCAATTCTTAAATCTGCAGTTGTTTTTTAATCTTATTCAGCATTACATTTTTTAGATTAAAATAATTTATGTTATGCCAAATCTTCTAAAGATACCTTCTTAATTATTTCAGAATTAATATTTTCTTCATCAAGTAAACCAATTCTAATAAGATTTGCTTATCGATAATTCCCTTTTGAATCAAATAATCCTCCTTTTTAAAGTATTCTTAATATAATCTCATCTATTGCTGCATTAGAAGGTGCACAAATCTAAAATTAATTATTATTTTACTAATATTTTCTTTCTTGGAAATTTGTTAGTCAATTTCATATACTCATAAACTCCTGATAATAATCCAATCAATGTATGTGTTTTCCCTGTACCTGGCTAAAAACTATATAATATAAAAATACCGGTCCTTATAATAAACAAATTCCTTTCTCTTTTAAAATAATCTCTCTTATTGATTATGCTTAACTCTAATTATATTTTTCATCAATTATCTAAAAAAAAGAATCTAACAATTCTTTATTTTAAATTTAATTTTTAAATTAAGCTGTCCAAACTCCTCCTATATCTGATCCTATTAATTATTATTATGTATTAGGATTATAAATTAATCCTGCTAAAGGAGTTTTTTGATTTAACCTTGTTATCATTTAATATTCTCGAATTAAAGTAGTGATTTTAGAAAATGGAAATAAAAAAACATTATACCATTAATTTACATTGAAACTTTATTTATTAACAAAACTTTGAATTCTTATTTATTGTAAATACTAAGCTTTTTATGGATCAATAAGAATTCCAAAAAAACTTATATTATCTCCATTAAATTAATTAATCTATCTAACCTTTAATTTTATTTTGTTTGTAATTAAAACTATAAAATTTTTTTATGTTGTCAAATCACAAACTCCATCTTTAATATTATCATAACAAAATTGTTAATCATCAAAATAACTTATATCATTCTACTCTAATTCTGTTTAAAATTTATTCTTAGGCTAAAGTCCCTTTTATTAATTAGTTTATGGTCCTCTCATTATAAAGATTGATCCTTCTGATTCATGATCGTTTTCATCTATTTTTATCTGTACTTTTCTATATTTAGTTGTCTTTTCTATTTTTTTCACAAATTCTATTAATTCTTATTTTATTTATGCACTAGCCTCATTTAAAAATAAGTATTCAAAAATTTTACAATATTCTACTGCACTTTCAAATGAATTTGGAATTACTTTCTATTCTTAATCTGCTATATCAGGTATCTCATAATTTTTTAGGAATAAATATTTTAACAATCTATTAAATTCAAAAATAGGTTTTCCTAATTAATAAGATTCCCCTGTATTATTATCTAACATCATTTTAAATTTAGATAATCTTTGTGATTCAGCTATCTTTTTCTTTTCTATTTTGATTGATCTAAGTTCATATTTATCTTCATTTAATAACTCTTCAGTTTCTCTTTAACCTTATTATTTAACTAATGGGTTATCTAAGATTTGTAATTACATTTCAAACTTCTTTCTTTCCTTCTCTCTCTAAATTTTATTAGGTAACTATTATTATTTATCTAAATAATTAAAACTACTTTTAATTCCTTCCTATAACCTTTATTATTTTTATTATAATTATAATTCTTTATATGATTATTAATGATTCAGTTATTTTTAATTGTACAATTAATCCTTTCCAGATTATTTAAGAGATTTACCAATATCTTTATTTTATTTGATCTAACCATCATCACATTTTTAGATAAGGACTTATTTCTCTTATTTGATAATTTTTTATTATTATTTACCTTAAATAATGTCACTTTCTTAATTTTTTTGTAATATAGATTAAGATTAATTTTATAAGTTTTTAACAGGAAAATAATTGTTTACTATTTTACCTTTGATATTTGAGGGTTACTATTCAAAAGAGTTTTTAACTAAATCTATTTTATTTTCTGTACTTTTGATTATATCTTTCGAAACATCACTAATATCTTTTTATGTATCAAATCTTTTTTAAAAGATTTTATTAACATCATCAAAATTCTATTATTATTCTTTTGGATCTTTATTTTTATTATTATTTTAAATTTATTACTTCATAAGTGTAGAATCTAAAATTTCAATTTTTTTCTATTCCTGATTTAATTTATTTAAGTTATATGAAAGTGAAATTCTCTCTAATTCAGATTTTTTGAATTCTTTTTTAAATTATTATTATTTATTTAATTCTAAAGTATTTTAAATACCATAATCAATTCTTTTAAATAATCCTTATTCAAAAAGATCAAGATCCTTTTATTCATTATTTACTATTTCTAATAAATCCCAATCTTCATTATCTTTCTTTTCTACAGAATTTTAATGACTTTACATTTTATTTTTTAATAACCATGTTTAATTATCTACTCCATTTATAACCTTATCAACCCTTTTTTAATCTTAAATATCATCAACTTTTAATTAATTCTCATTATTTGTAAGTTTGCTTTATTAAATATCATAATTATCTACTTCATCTGTGTTATCACTATCAATATATTCTACTTATTAAATAGTTATATTATTATTGAAGTGTGATTTTTATTCTATATTTTATTTTATCTTTTTTTATGAAAACTTTTTGGATTCTATGGAGGACATAATATTAAAATTGGAAAATTCGTCTAATTATTCTAGTTAATTGCTTATTATATTTGAAATCTTCATTTCCTATTGAATTGTTTATCTAAAATTACAAGCTTAATTTAAATTAAAAAATTCTGATTAGTTATTCATACTACTAATTTCTGCATCTTTAATAGATATACTTTTCCTACTATCTTATGAAATTATATCAACTTCAAAATCATCATATAAAATTTTTGCATTTTATTTTATTTAGTCTAATTATTCTAATCTTATGTGTTATTCAATTTCCATTGTCAATTAATTATTTTATTCATTTATCAATATAATCTCATCTTAACTGTTATCAGATAAAATATTACATCGAAAATCATCCTACATTTTATATATTGTTATAAAATAAATAAATAATAACTAATTTTGAGTCTAAATCAAAATTGAGAATTTGAAAATGGAATCTAATTGAGAAAATAATACAAAACAAATAGTTAAACACTATTTTGTAAATAATATACTTAAAAAAAATGGAAAACTTTTAATATCATAGCTAATTATCTAAATATTTTTAATAATTCTATGAAAACTATAAATACTCTTTTTGGATTTTATTAGATCTATATATATATATAGTTTAATGAATACTTTTATATTTCTGATTAATTTGTATTAGCATTCTAATGTTCACTATGACTTTTATTATATCTATTATCAGGCCTGGAATTAGTTTTACTCTTTTTGTTACAAAGGAAACTTTAAGTATTCAAAAATGCCCTTAAATTATCACTTTAGTTTTTTAAATCAAATTTAACATTCTCTGTTGTAGTTTTGACTTATTAAATACTTGAATCTATTATTTATTTATGCTATGTTTTCTATTATTAACTTGCTGCTCTTTGTTGATTGATACAAGATTTAATCTTATTTGAATCATTTTTTTCTATAGTTGAAGAATCTCTTGATGATTTATAAGCATCATTTAACTTTAAAGAATCCCTTCGATTTTAAAGCATTTTCAAAATGGAACTATCAATAGTATTACTTATTTAAGTTTTAACTTCAGCATATTATTTACTATAATCATCCATGTTTCTTTAATTCAATTTTTATTTGGGACCTACAAAATCTATAGTCTAATATCTTTAGCTATTCTTAATATACTTTAGATTGTTACTTTGATATGATAAGAATCTTGATTTTTTGTTTTATCATAATTAGGGGAAGTCTGTTAACTATTAATTCTATCGTTTACATCAATTAGTTTAGTTTTTAACATGTAATTTTCACTTTATAATCTTTTAACTTATTCAATCAATTATTGATTCTCTTTTTTTAAAGACTAGAAATTTAGAATAATTACATTCACTAATTATTTAGTATTGTTCAAACATTCATTAATACCTTCTTGTTCTTCTAATTTTTATTATAACGATTCAGCATACAGTTTTATTTATTATTCCATCTAATTTAAATTATAATAAACACTTTACTCTTATGTGTTTACGAATCTCATGTTCATATTTTTATACTTATTTTTCTAAGGCTTCATAATCATAATTTTTAGTTGCCTCATTTATTTTTTAAGGAATTGCATCTCTAATAAATTAAAGTTAACTATCTAAATCTTTACATTATGACCATTTCTTTTGTTAAGCTCCATCAAAACAAACCTAATCAATATAATTCAATACTAATTTAAATATCTCATTCATAATACTTTGACTCATATTAACTATATTTTATATATTATTGATTAAAATAAATAATGTTATATATAAATATATTTTGATTTTACAAAATGATATAATATTTAAATAAAAGCCTAATCATTATTTTTGATGTGTAAATGTCTTATGTATTTTATTTTCCATATTTTGTGATGTAATCTATGTAGAATTTGTACTATAAGCAAATGACTTAAAATCACTCATATTCTATGATTTTAATGAAAATTCACCACCTTATGGAGATATTGCCTTTGTTCTGAATTGTCTAGGTAATACAAACTATCAAATTTATAAATAAAATACTTATTTTAATTCTTTCTCTTACATATTTAAATCATCTCTATATTCAAGATTTTTTATCATTAAATCTATCAACTATCCTTTTACTAAAGAAAACCCCTTTTAACGATTATCCTACTCTAAATTTGAATTATACAACATTGAATTATTTTTTCTTGATAATCTAGGTGACACTTTCATTTCAATTCTCTACTCTGTTGAATTTTATTGTTATAAGATCTACTAACTAAATTATTCTTAAATCTTAGTATCATTTATAACTAAAGATTTTATCTATTAAGAATTTAATAAGTTTTATTAGCTATTTCTATGTTTCATAGAAAATCTTTATTAATTTATTTTGAGTTTCTTAACTTCTTTTGTTTATTCCATTTAATCTTATGCCCTATCCTTCTCTGTATTGTAATAATCCACATTTTATATTTCTCTATACTCTTAAAGTTTATTATATGCTGCCTATTTCTATTCAACTTATATATCAGATACTGATATTGATTTCATTAAACTTTTAGTTACTGGCATCTCTTTATGAATTTCCCATTCAGTTTAAATGATCTTCTTTGCAGTATCCTTAATTTGATCTAAAGTCAAACATTCTTCAAATGCAATTGCTTCAATTTTCTTATTAAAGAATTCATCTATTGTTGATATTTTAGTTGATTTTTATTAATTATTTAATTAGTTTAATAATTTTTGATGATTTTTTTCTAATTCACTCATTTCATCTCTTATAGTTAAACTAGATTTTTATCTTAAATTAATCAATTAACTTAAATAACTATTCTTATGATCTGAATTTGTATTCACTCTTTTACATTTTACTGAAACTTGACGTTTTTTTGGTTTATCTTAATTTTACTTAACAACTGAAACATTATTTAAACTTAAAAAACTACCAGGATTAACATTTTGATTTATTCTCTCTCTTTTTGTTGATGGAGATTCTTTAATAAGTGTATTGATGTAGATAGTATGATTTATAGAAGTTTAAGAATATGGATTTGAAAAAGCAGTTGAATCCTTATGATGATAAGATTTAATTTTAATAGGTAAGTAATCTTACATTGTTAATTTATCTTGACTATTTGAGACATATATATATTAATTACTATTAACTGTTTTAAAACCTTTTTAAAATTATGAATTTTTATTTTATTAGAGTTTAGTTTTAATCATTTCTTAAAGTTTTGAGTTTCCAATAATTTTTGTATTTTATTTTAAATTAACATGATTTCCATAAAGAAATTGAGTAAATTTAGTTAGATCTTAATCTTCTAATAAAATTTATTCAAATTTTTCATTTGTAAATTCAAATTCTGAAGCTATGTACTCAATAAATTCAGCCTTCACTTTCAAAGGTTTTAAAATTTGAGAGGCTAAAAAGTGAGCCAAATTCAAAGATTAAATACAATCTAAATGATTATCATTAATTTCTTAAGATTTACTTTATATATCTAAATTAATCAATAATGTAGTTGTTATTTTTATCAATTATTTTTATATATTTATTAAATCTGATTTAGGTTTATGGTATTCTCTAAGAGAATTTAATAACATTTGAAATCCATACTCTAATACATCATTATTTGAAGTGTTACATAATTCAAATTAGGCAGCATTCTTTAATGTTAGAGTTTAGAAATATAAAAATTAAGATTAAAATGTAGAGATAGGAGTTAATTTTTATAGTTTGAACAAAAAAAGAGAAGCCTCTTTTAATAAAGACATTTTGAAATATAGATAAACAAAAAGTAAAGTCTTTTAAAAATAACAAAAGAGCTACTACCATTAATATTTGATCCAAATTGTTGATTTGTTATCTGGTTCTAATTTATCAAATTGATTTGCAAATTATTTAATAGTTAATTTGTTTGGTTCATTTAAGAATTTAACTTTTCTAGATATTTGTTTTTCTTTGATCTATTTATCATCAAAAGAAGTCTCATATTTATTAAGCAAAATTTGATAATTTTAACATAAACTCATACAAGTTATTAAAACTTCTAAAATAGTTTATTGTTTCGAACTAAAGTTCAAAAAATATTTCTTGATAACTTTCAGTTGACAGTACATTAATCTTCTTATTAGCTAGATATTTAATTGAATGTAAAATGTATCATTTGCCAAATAAGGATTACAAACTAATTTTCTACTTAAATTGATAAATTTTTTGTATTTATTATTCTTAAGCAACTAAATTGTATCATATAAGTGGTACTCCAATATTAAAGAATTGTTGTTGATCATAATTATAAATTTATTTGCTTTTATTTTAATATTGAAAGAATAAAGTGATATTAGATTCTATTTAATAGGTATATTAAGTTTGAACATACAATATTCATCAAAATCATACAAGCAGGACTAAATTTTATTTATTAATTATAAATATTTTTAAAATGCCACCTAAAAAAAAATAACAGTAAGAAGTAGTTGAATTCACAGAAGCAGAAAAGAAGGCACTTGAGAAATTGTATTAATTTTAATAAGATTAAATTATAGAGATCATTCTAATCTATTAATTGAAATCTAGGTTTTGAAGGATAGAATTGAGGAGTTATAGAAAAATGTATACGATTTGAATGAGACTATAAGAACAATAAATGAATAAAATGTAAAGAATTTAAGGTATATTAAAAGCTTGCTCTAACTCTCAAAATGGAATCAGATATAAATAGAAAAGAAAGTGATTATAATGCACTTTTATAATAATATGAGGACCTTAAAAAATAAACAACTGAAGAAATTGAATCTACTATTTAGAGAAAAGATGAAAAAATTAGATGTAATTCAGTTACATATTTATAATAGATTTGGAAAAAGAAAAAGCAGATTTAGAAATGAGACATAAAGATGAATTGTAAAGAGTTAATGAAGAATTAAAAAAGTTAAGTTCATTTAAGGTATTAAATATATAGAAATTAGGAAGAAAAAGAATATATGATTAGAGAAATCCATGATTTAAAAGAAGAAATGAACAAAAAAGATTATGCACATTTAGATGAATAAAGCAAAGCTAATAAAAACTTCTTAAAATAAACTTAAAATCTAACTAATGTTAATAATGCTAAGATTGAGGATGTACAAAGAAATGCCAATAAATTAGCAGAAGAAAAAGTAGCTGCTAAATATGATGGAATACTTAAAGAAAATGAAAAAATTAAAAGTGAATTACAGGAATACGAAAGAACTCTATCTATATACTAAAAAGAAAAAGAAACGTTTTAATAAGAAAATATCAATTATAAATTAAATTTAAGTATTAAAGAAGAATAAGCTAAAGAGTAAGTATTTATTTTAATTTAGATATTAAATGTTAAATCATTAATAAATTATAAAGATTAAATAGTTAAAGGAGAAGATTGAATATCTCAAGACATACATAGCAAATGTAAAAAGTGGGTTTGATAATTTCTTAGGAAGTGACAAAATAAACTAAAGAAATAGAAATTATGAAACATTAAAGTAATTCTAAAGTATAAGAGTTGGAAATGTAACTACGTAATTTAAGACATTTGTTGGATTAAAGGACTAAGGAACTTAAAACAGTTAAGGCTTTGGCTTAAATGATTTTAGATTAAAGATCAGATATTGAGTAATTTTTCCTTTAAGCCATTGATTAAGTGAAAAATGAAATAAACAAAAAAAATAAGAATTAGAAAAATAGTCGTTTGCCAGAAATATCATAAAAATCTTAAAGTCTCGAATCTAATAAGGTTGATATAAATGATTTGGATTTAGAAGAAAAGGAGAAGTTATTGAGAATATTATTCTCAAAAATGAATCAAGGAGTACCACCTGCAAATTGGAAATCATAACTTGGTCATGTAAATTATTTATTCTATTTATAGAGCAAATCTTAAGTTGATGGAAGCTCTTTTAGGGATAATCAATTTTAATGAAGATTAAAGGAATGAATATTGAATTATAATTATTAAAATTTGTATTAAGAGCAGCACGAAGGATACATTTTTATAAGTTTTTATCGTTTTTATTAGAGTACGTTTTTGATTAATTATTAAATGAAATTCATTATTGTTGTGTTATTAGCTTTGGTAGCAACAACTTATGGTTCAAAAACACAAGATTAAATCCTTGCCTTATTATAAGTAATAATTATAAATAAAAATAATAGACAGGAACAAAAGCAAGTGATGCTATTGATACAGTTTTTGGGTTACTCAATGATTTGAAATAATCGAATATTGATGCTTAATTTGCTGCAGATCAAAAGAATGAAACAGATGAATGGGTTGGTGCATAGTAAATATGAAATTAATAATTTAGGACAATCGAATAATTTACAAAGATTAAAAGTCTGAATCAAAAACTCTTCAATCAAGCTATTGAAAATAGAGCTAACTATGAAGAAGTGCTTAAATAAACAAAAAATTATTTGGCTTGGAATGAGGCAAGAAGAGATGAAATAGCAAGAAAAATTGATGCTCTTTAAGATAATTAATGCTTTAGCAATTAACTCTTTGTTAAATCAATCAAACATAACTAAGAAGCACTTGAAGTTATCAGACTTTTGAAATAAGATGTTGCTGGTTACATCATTAATGGTGATTCATTTGAATTCACATAAGTTAAAGCATAATCTGTGGCTGAAAAATTAAAATAATACAGTAATTTATTCTAAGATCATTAAATCAAATCATTCTTGGCTTTGGCTAATTCATAAGAAGTAAAATTATTAAATATTTTAAAGGAAGGACCATCAACAGGTGGATCTACATTGGCTGAAAAGGTTTTGGGAGTTCTTGAAGGATTAGAAGCTGAATTATCTGCATCATTAGAAAACTTGAAATAAAATGAAATTAATGCCTCATGGGAATTGGCTGGATGGGTTTCATTGTCAGAAGCTGAAATTTCATCATTAGAAGTTGAATATGAAAGAAAATAAGTTTTTGCTGACAGAACTGCTACTGTAATTAATTAATTTAAATTTAGTAAATTTAAGCTGCTTTAGCTTAATAAGCTAAATCAAAGATTATCTTATAAGAATCATAAGATGCACTCGATTAAGCTTAATCTGATTTAGAATCAAAGAGAGCTGATTATGCTGAAGCCAAAGCAAAGAGAGAAGAAGAAAATGCTATTCTTGATGAAGTGATCATAATGTTCAAGAAACAAGTTGCTTCTTGGTCTGGAAGATGAATTTGATAATCTTATCATTTATTAATAAAATTGATAATACAAATCCTGAATCTATTTATATTATAAAAATAACTAATAAAATTAAATTAGTATGAATACAAGTCAAAATAGATATAGTAAAATAAATGGATTTAGAAGGCCTATCAAATTTAAGTAAATATTCACTGTGGTGATTTTTATACAATTATAATGTTGTGTATCGACTGCTATATATTAAATTACAGATATTCTAATTCAAGTATAAATTATGAATAAATAGTCAATACCAACATCGATATTTTATATTTTATCAATTTTAGTTGTTTATTATGCCTACTAAACAATATCTATAGATCCTACAGATGATCAGTTAATATTAGTTAGAAATGGATAAAATTAGAATGGGTAAGAAAAAGAATATTGTATTGATTGTAAATTTTATAAAAGAGAAACAACTTACCATTGTACACTTTGTGAAAGGTATTATATAATATTAATTTGAGATGTGTGTCAGATTTTGATCATCATTGTGTATGGCTAAATAATTGCATAGGAAAAAAGAATTACCAATACTTTTTTAAGTTACTCATTTTTATATCTTTATATGGTGTGGTTTTTATAATTTTTGCTAGCCTTTCAATCCATTTTTTATCTGTGGTTATGATTATTTGGATTGCTTTCAATATTGTTGTCACGACAATATCCCTCGTTCTAATTTTGATTATATTGGCTAAACATACTTATGATAAATTTAAAGGATAAAGAACAAATTCAATTTAAGATTTTGGATTGATAGTATAAAATCTATAAATTAACTCTAAGACATCTTAAGAAAATAATCTCGAAACTCTATAAATAAACAAGTATTTTTATTCTATTTAAATATTTTAATTATTAGTTAAATAAAATAGAATAGAATAGTTCCATTGTAAAATTTTACTGAAGGATAATAGTAATTAAGTGAGGATCAGAAAAACTTATTTGAACCTATTTTTGATAATCAAAAAGAAAATCTAGATATTAATGGCTATGCCTAATCGATACAAGATAATTGTACAAAAAGAAAGAATAGTTTAGAGACAATAAATACTTATAATCATATTTAATAATGATGATCTTATTAAATTAAGATTATTATAATACTTATTTTAATAATAATTATTATTAATTTTATCGTAAAAAAAGATTAAAGAACTAAAAAGTCATTATATTAAGTTATAAAATGATTATTAAATCATTAAAATATATCAGGTGATAATGAACTTAAAATATAATAATAATATTTGCAATATGTAATCTATGGTTGATTTAATTTAATATATTGTGTTTCAATTACAAAAATAAGAGCTAAAATGATTAATTGTTTTATATTAAAGAATTTTAATATTGATTAAAAATCATATGAAATCATTAATTCATACTATTTATTGATAAATTATCAATAATTTCAAATTCATATATTTTACAAATGATAATATTATTATTTAATATAAATTGAATGAATTTATCTTAAGAATAATGGGAATACCTTAAGGAATTAAACGATGAAGTCTGGATGAAATATAGCTATATTGGGATTCCAATACAAATTGTGATGATCATTTACAAAATCCTATATCCTATTTATTGGCAAGAGGTGAAAAGAGTAGATCAATTTCCATCACTTTTATAGGGTATTATACGATGAACCCTTTAGATAAGTTAATTAGACCATTCATTTTTTATGGGCCAATTTATTACTTATTTGACATTATAATAAAAGTGGGAAGTGGTAAAGCATTTGCATCAGCATGCAGTATATCATTCTTCTCACATCATGTGATAACTTCGATCTTTTTACCATTAGCTGTCTATAGTAAGCATGTACCTTGGTTTTTCATTGTATCTATACTAATATATCTATATATAGAGCACAGGTTTATTTCATGCTATTTTGCTATGTTTTAAACATAGTTATTTATAGTATATATATCTAGTGGCAGTTTTATTATATCATTATGGGATATTGTAGCCCCCATTCAAAAAGTAAAAAATTTATTATAAATAGTATGATTTAATACAAATTGTTAAATGTAGGAACAATCTTGCTATATCTAACAATTATAGCATTGTGGTTAAATGGTTGTTCTCATTGAAAATAGATTATTAATGTATATTAAAAATAAAATAATAAATGATGGGATGATGATTTTTATTTGAATAATATCTCATTTTTAAGGTGTTTGTTAAAATTATCCAGTCTTAACAGCAGCTGGTAATTAACTTGCAGGAATGGGTCCATTTCCAATAGGAACAGGTGGACCATAGATAGTTTGAGTGGCAGGTTGAGCATATTGAGGGTATTAGGCATATTAAATTGGTTATGATACGACAGGAACTGTTTATGTCACATAAGATTATTAAACTACTGGTTAAGCAACGTAAGATTGAGTGACTACAGGTTAAGCAACATAAGATTGCTAAACTATAGGTTAAGCAACAGCTTGAACTTAGGGTTAATGAACAACTTATCTTTCCACTGGATAATATTCAACTCTTTCTTAATATCTATCAACGGGAACATATTCTAATATTTAAATTGTAAATAATACCTGTAACTTTATCATAACAGACTTGTGGAACATATTCTGTTTAGTATTCAATAGCTTAGTATTCAGTCACATATTTCTCTCTTGGAACCTAAATTTTTTGTCTAACTTCTTCATATTCGATTACACTCTTCTCGTAAGGAATGTATCTAAATGGAAAATCTTAATAATTTATACTCTACTCTGCTTTCTCCCTTAATAGTTGGTTATTATTAAACAACAGGTTGAGTCATTACTGGTTAAGCTACTATTGACTGAGTAATGACAGGTTGTTAATATACAACAGGCTATTAAACAACAGGAGGGGCAACAAATGATTGAGCAACTGGTTGAGTGTAATATTAAGGAATGTAAGCAGGACTTTACAATTAGACTGGTGCCTAATAAGCTCTTGGTGGTGAAAATGTGGGGTTCCATTAAGGTTATTATTATGGAGCTACAGTGGTAGGTTACCATGGTTATTATGTGGGTGGTCTATTCGACATTTATTTAATAAATATAATTTATTTTCTTATAAATCTAAATCTTTTTTCTGAACCTTAACTATTGTCTGTAATTTTCAAGCTTTAGATATAAAAATGTTAAAGATTTCTTAATCCTTATTAAGAATGTCAATAAAATTAATAATATATGTTTTAAATAGATTAAAATTATAAATATCATGAGTACAACTTATTAATAGCTTATCTTCCATTGAGTTCTTTATAGAATTGTTAAAGTTTGAATTTTTTAGCTAATTCAATTCTAACATCGTCAACTAAAAGAAGATCTTCTAAATATGATAGTAATTCTTCTAATTAGTTATCGTCATTCTATCCTTCAAATGGTAATATAGGTAGTCCATTATTAATCTAAGCTCTATAATTATATAATAGAATACATGAAATTATATGGAGAATTATCAATAATGACAATGTCTTTGAGATCAGTCTAAAATATTCTTAAGTCTTTAACTTTTCCAATCATGTTATCGATTGTGCAAATTGCTTTAAAATATTGTTTCTTTGGATCTATTAGTTTCAACATCTAAAAAACAATTAAATTATTTATTACATTTGTAGCATGTTCTATTTTTGCAGCAGTAAATAATACTAATGTACAAATCTTAGATAATCGATCTAAAAACTATTTACAAAATGGTCTTATTATGCTTTGATCATTTTTATGATAAATTAATGTTTCATCAAGGTCTAATACTACAACCTTATGGTTTTTCTGTTATTTTTTTAATTTGACTATGCGTTTATCCACAATTTCTTTTGGTTATTCAATGTACCAATGTGATTAAAGAGATGCTTCATGAAGTTCTCTTGCTAATTTGCAATCTGAAGATATTTTATTTGTAAAATAATTTATTTTTGACTTTTCATCATTGTTTTATAAATCTGGAGTTGTGTCAGCTGTCCTTTGAGTTTCTAAATTTTGAAAGTTTGTTATTTTTTTATTTATTATTATTTGGCATGACTTACTATGATGATTCAATTTCATTGTCTTCAATATTAAGGTATTAGATATGATTTAAATAATTTAATAATTGTTTATCTGTAAGAAATATTCAACTTTAAATTAAAAAAAAATTGAGTTTATTATTTCTGATAAAAAATGCATTTAATTGAATATATAATTAATTATTTTCTAATTAATATAAAGATTGCATTTATATTATATTTATAGATATGTTTGTAAATCAATATACCTTAAATTTATTTTAGAATAATAATTATATAAAAACTTTTTTAATATGAAATAAAAAAATATAGAAATTGAAGAAGAACTTCGAGAAGCAAAGTTTGCTGATTATAAATAAATTAAAAATAAATTCTTGTCTAAATTTAGAAAACCATAAAGTCTAGAAGTTTATAATTAGATTAGAAAGAATCGTATATATTTAAATAAAAACCAAGCATTTTAATTAAGCCAAGAATTTCATGAAAATGAATTAAAATGTAAAATATGTAAAGATTATTACATTAAATTTACAATTGCTTAATGTGGTCATTCATTTTGTTATTATTGCATTTTTGAACATTTACTTAAATCTCATGTATATTTTTATTATATTTAAGAGATGCCCATGTTGTCAAACAGTTTTGAAAGGTTTATAATTTATCTATTGTAAGACAATAGATTAATTTATTCAGAATAGTAAAATACTTTAAAATAATACAACTATACTAAATAGAAAGAAAGAATTTAAAGAATGGAAAATGAAAAAGAAGTTAACTAATTTTAAATTAGGAGATTCTTTAGATGTTTTAGATACTGAACATATATGGTGCATTGGATAGATAATTAATATTAGGAACCAAAAAGAAATGCTTGTTCATTATTAAGGATGGAATAAGGCTTATGATGAATACATTTCAATCTCATCACCACGTTTATCTCCTTTGGGACTATTTACTAATAGAACTGGTATTATTAAATTATAAAGAAGATATTTTATTATATTAACCAAGTTTAAATGATAATGCAATGTCTAATTATGTCAGATAAATTGAATCTCAAAATTAAGAGAACGATTAATTTAATTATTTAATATTATAGCAACAAACATAAAATTCAAACATTATTTTTGCCATTGAATCACCAAGTAGAACTACATTATCAAGTTTATTATAATTAGTTATCATCATTAGAGAAATACATGATGAATTACATAATGATTGATGACCTCTATATAAATATTTATTATAAATAAATGAGGTCTTTCAATTCTATCCACAATAATATTTCATAATTAAATTATTTCAAATGTAATCATATAAAGATGCTTTATAACTGTTCTCAAAAAATTCAATGAATTTACCAATGAAGGAACATGAAGATAAATTAAATGTATTTGTAATTACAATAAGATTATGTTAGAATATATATTAAATGAATTAGAAAGAGATAAAAAACAATTGTAAATTTTGAGATAAGAAATAATACATGAATCATACTTACAATCTTCTATAAATGATGAAACATCAACTAGTTTCATTGAAGAATTAGCAGACTTTACTAAAAATTTTAGGAAATTGGCAGAAGAATAAAATAATGAAACTAATAAAATAATTAATTAGGTGGAACTATTAAAAAATGAAAAAGCAAAATTAAGGAAATCAACTAATTTATTGGATCATAGAATTTTTGAAATGGAAAAAGTCTTAGGTGTAGGATTGAATTAAGTAAATTCATAAGAAATTAATAATTGATTTTTATTTATACATCATAATTAAGATAATAATTTTTTTTCATTTTTATACACATATTTTTGGTTATGTTTTTAATTTAACATATTTTATTAATTTGACTGTTTCTAAAGTGATTTATATATATTTGTAAATAAAATATAGTTAATCATATAGATTCATTATATGAGAATGAATTAAAATCTTAAAAAATAAAATTAGTCAATTAAATTTATAAGTTTGAGTAATAATTTCAATTAATATTTGTATTACAATTTTAAATACCATATTTTAGAATTTTAAATAGTAATAATGATATATACAATAGATATAAGATTAAATAAAGTGTTTAATTACTTCCTATTATGTTTATTACTGTTATTTTATAAAAATAATATTGAAAATTGTAATATATATATGTTAAATATTTTGTATTAATAATTGAAAATTTAATTTGGTTTTTAAAACCAATTAATCATTTTTTGAAATTATGGAAAGAAATCATTAAAAAAATATATAAAATTTGAAGATTACATTTTTTTGAATATTATATATAAATATTATTTGATGTTCATATTTTTATAATGTTCATGATATAGATTCAGATATTTCAATATGTTCTAATTTAATTAATTCCTTTTTCAAAAGTTTCTTTTCATTTTCTAAATTTAATATTTATAAATACTGAATTATTATGAATGATATTTTTAATAGATTTCTTATGCTCTATTTTCACATTTATTAAATTCATGATCTTTCCATGGAAATCTTCTATAAGTCTTAATTTTCTTAATATATATATAATATATATTATACTTCATAATTTCTTGTAATGATGATTTTTAGAATTTATTTAGTCATTTTTTCAATTTTCTCTTCATTTTCATGTTTACATATAGTTTGAAATTCATCTAATTAAAGTAAAAGATTGAATTACCTAAAAATTTCTAATAATAATAAGAAAACTTTTATGATGTAAATAGTTTTTTTAAATAAGCATCATTAATAGTTTTGAGTTTTGATTCTTTTCTAAAAGGTATAAGATTATCAATAGAGCCATTTTCTAAGGTTTTCATAAATTCTTAATCACTTGAAAAGAAGGTGTGATAAAAAAGTCTATCTCTTTCTTCTGCTCCAAGGTTATCTTATTCTTAATAATTAATTTATGTTTTAATGAATTGGAAGCATCTTCTTATAATGAATTTTGTCATTTCTTCTTTTGTTTTATTAACTTAGATATATCTCTTCTTAATGATATTAGGTATATCACAATGTATGGATATTAGATTCTAATAACAATATTGATAAGATATACTTTCAAATTCTCAGTAGCAAATTTTTCAAAAGTTTTTTCTTTGAGCAAGGAAATATTCTTCTACAAATATATCAATAACTGATTAAGTTCTTGCAATACTAAAGCTTCTTTAGAGTGAGTTTAGCGATTTTAATCAGTATTTTCTGAAACTTCTTCATTAAAAGTAATCTCAGGGAATTGACAGGCTTAATCACACATAACTTTTGTTGGAATCATATTATAGTATTAAGTTGGAATGGAATATAGTTATTAAAGATTGAGTTATGGATAATTGAGGTAGGAAGTTGCGTATACAATAGGAAGCATGAGATAATTTAAAAAAAAAAAGATGTAAAAAATATTAATATCTTTAAATCATATCATAAGTGTATAAATTATATAGATAATCATTAAATAGTGTTAGATGATCAACCAAAAACAAATTCTAGCCAATCTGACTCAGAATTTAATTGAGTAGGTTATAAGAAATAATTAAATGAATTTTGCTAAACACTTTTTTATCTTTGTTATAAAATAGAAGGATGTTATTTTGGTAAATCAACAGAATAACCTTTTCTCTTCATCAGATTTGACTCAGGTCTTAAATCATTGATCTATTTTTTCCTTACATGACATATTTTATCCAAAATTTCTTATACTCTTGATTCTAAATTACATTCCTGTTACTGTGATTTTTAATCTGAATAATAAAAATTTTTATATTTTCTATATTTTCTCTCTTTATTATCATTTAAATCTGAAGTCTATATTTATGGCAATTAAAGATGTTGTGATTTATGTTTTAATGTTTATTTTTATACAACTTTTATTTATTTGAATTCTAATTAGTTATTTTTTTTTAATAGTAATCTTAATACTCTATCTTATTTATCTTATAAATTGGCTAAATAAGGTGTTAATTAATTAGAAATTGGTATTTCAGTTCTAGATTTCATTTATTTATATAAATATATATATAAATATATATAAATATAAAGAATAAATATAATTAAATTAAGATTTATGAGTGACGATTCTGAAAGTTTGGATTTCCCTAATACCCCATTTTATACCTTTGTAATTTATTTTATTTACTTCTATTATTTAGAATATAACTATTGGATTAACATTAGCATTGACCAAATTATGTGCAAACAAGTGTAGATTATTCAAACCTGATTAAGGTACAAAATTGTCAGAAAATGATGTTTAATGTGTCAGTAATCAATCTATTTTAATAAAAAAACAGAAAATTGTGCTGCCACCATAAATAATAATTACTCAACATTTACAAGTTCATTAAAAGAGGCTATCAATTTTGAAGATGCATTTGGAGTTTTCGAACCAGAAGAATGAAATATTACAAACATTAATCAAAATAAAACATTATTTAAAGATAATATTCTTTATTATTATTTTATTTATATCTTTTTCAATCTCAATATTAATAATATCAATCTATTCAATTAGCTTTATTTATCATAACTTAAATAATTGATATTCAAAAAAATAATTTAGATAATATATATATATATATATTTATTGAAACCATTATAATTTAATATCCTATTTATATATAGTTATAAATAAATCATTTATTTATTTTCTAAAGTTCCCCTTTATTAAAATCATCAGTAGATTGAAAACTATATATATGTCTATAAACATTCATTGAATCTTAATCATCTGTATCTCTTTTAGGTGACTCTTCTAAATACTATTATTTTATTTGAGAAAGAAATTTTTATATTTCATTTTATTGATCAAAAGCACTTTATTCTTTATTTTAATTTGTTGTATTATCATTATTAAGTTCTCCTTTTAATATTTCTATTTCTTCATCTTTACCTTTAATTTCATTTTATAATATTTTAATTTGATCTAATTGCATTTCTAATTTTTATATTTCAATACACTTCTCTGTATATTTTTACGATAATTCTTTATTTTAATTCATAAGTTCATTTATGTATTATTATAATGACTCATTTTTATTTATTTATTATATCAACTATTCTTAAAGGAGACTCATTTTTGCCTTAATATTATTTGTATCTTCATATTTTTAATTTGACTTATCTAAAGCATTCTCTTAAATAAATATTTTTAGAGTTTCAATTTATAATTGAAGATCTCTTACAATTTAGCTTTCTGTTTTCTTAAATTCCATTTAATGGATTGTTGCTAATAATTTAGCAATTTCTCTTTCTTTATTAACACAAGCATTAGACTTTTATTCTAGAGCTGATCTTAATCTAATTCTATCATCATTAGACAAATCAAGTGCTTTTTATAAGGCAATAATCTTTTAATCTCTGAATGTAATGTCATTGCGTAAAACTTATAAATCAAAATCATTAGCTATTGTTAATTTATTTCTTTCAGGAGACATTTAACTTTAAGTAGGTATTGTGATATTTTATTTAATTACTTCAAATTTCTATTCTAAATTTTTTATTGGTGTAGTTTTTGATGATGCATAATAAGTTTATGGTTGATATTATTATTAAGTTAAAAGTGGATTATTTACTTAAGTAATTGATTATTTATGAACAACAACAGGAGATTAAGTTCGGTTAGGAGATACTAAATTGCTTTTATAAAACATTAACAACAGAAATATTTATTATTTATAAACTATTTTAATAATATAATATCAAAAACTTGAGATAAGATTAATATTTGATAGATGCTTTTAGAATCTATTTATAATTAATAATATTACATTAATTCTAATTAATATATAAATGTTAATGCTAACTTTATCAATTTATAAATTATCATTTTCTATTTCTAATTGAAATAAAAATTGATTAAATGTTTAACCAATTGTAAATTAAATAATCTAAATATTTTTTCTATTGATAAATAATTAATGTAAAAACATATGATATATTTTGCCAATTTATTTTTATATATATCTAAAAATGATAAAAGTAATAAAGTTGTTAATTATTTATAATATTTATTATTTAATTAAATAACATTTTTGATCTTATTTATAATTCAAAAGAATATAGATCATTTTTTACTAGAACAAACAGAAGATAAAAATAATTTATTTTTATTTTATACAAAGTATATTAATGCTGGATTTACATTTAATATAAAATAGTATATTATTTAAAATGTATTTTGATTAGCTGTTTTTTAGAAAATTGTGAATAGAAAAATTATTAATAATAATTTACACGTATTAAAATATGCTTGACCTCTAAGCAAAAACTAATAAAGAAATCTGGCAAGCTAAAAAATTGTTGTATGAAAGTGATGGGGACACTAAAAAAAGCTTGATTATTAATTTAGTTGCTTTGGTATATTAAATATATTGATCTTAAGGGTTTATTATTTATTTTGCTTTTTTACAGTATTGTGGGGTCAGATGATAAATGGACTTGTGAAATCGAATCTGCTAACAATAGTATTCTTAATCATCTATATATTAACAGGAGGTCATTATATTTGTGTTGAAATGAGAAGAACAATGAATTGTAAGACTATTAGCGGACCAATAAGATCTGAAATATTTTTAAAGGTTAAGAAAGATTTACAAGCAAGTGCTATAGTAATTTATAATTTATATTAAAGATTGAATGCCCATGGGAAATTGCTATTTCAGAAATTAGATTGTGCTTCATTTTATTATCAATAAGTAGTTCACTTATTGGGATTTATGCATTAAGAAAGACTAATAAAAAGTATGCAGAACTAAGTTTTTAAGTAGGGATATCATTTGCAATACTTTTAGTATTTAATATATTAATAATTTAGTTAATATCTGCATATTTCGATTATGTTTCAATTAGAACTTCTTAAATAAATAACTATAATTTATGTAATTTACAGGAAGAATTTTAGATTGAAGAAAAAATGAAAGTAATTATTTAATTTATTATAATTTTAGGGATAAATGGAATGTTCTTTTTCATTTTATAATTTTACTGTAATATTAGAAATAGCATGTTCTGTTGCGATGATCATTAACTCTATTTACATAAACCAATGGAGATATAAACAGATTACAGAACTCAATGATTAGTTGTGATAATAGTTTTATTTTATCAATTATAGAAATTCAATAAAACATATATATTTTAAGCATCAATAATTATATATATATATATATAATTATCAAATGTAATCAAATAAAGGACATTTTTCATTAATTATTTTAATAGAAATATCGCTGAATAGTTGCTTAAAATATGGTCTATCTTGAACAAAATTTAAAGATGAAAAGTTCTGAATTTCTTTACTAATAATGATAACACTTGTTGCCAAATTAGATATTACAAGATCACAAATAAAATTATTACATATATTTGAGTATATGGTTTATTGATTTTCTAATGTATATGATTAGATATTATTTAAATTTAAAGCATCCTTAAACTATGGTAAATGATTAACATTTCTATGATGATTATTTAATTCATACTTCTTAAGAAAAAGATAATATTGATCTTCAATATCATTTGTTGGACTAAAAGTTCTTTCAAATTCTTTATTTGATATTATTTCTACACCTTCACTTGTTTTAAAATAGGTCTTCACAATTTGATTATCTAAATCTATTTCTAATTAGATTTTTGGTTATTGTTTATCATTCATATTAAAAAGCTTTTGATTTCTAGTTTTAAGCACATCACTTAAATTGAAAAATTAAATTTAAAGGTTCTATCCTATCTTCTATTTAATTGAATTTTATTAAAAAGGATAAGCAACAACTAAAAACTTATAATTGAATTTAACTTATTTTAGCATTATTGTATTTAGTTAGATCTTATGTATTTTCATTGTAATGATCATTGGTTTAGGAATCAAAAAAATAGTTTTACTTACTTGTCACCAATCCAAAAAGCATTTCAATTAAAATATTTTTTATTTTATTTAATTACAATAAAAATGGATATGCTTTAAACACTATAGCTTTGGAAATAGATCAAAACAACACTGTAATAAAAATTTTCTGATCTTAAGAGTACATTTGACTCAATAGATACAAATAAAAATGGAATTATTGAATTAAATGAATTATCTCAAGAACTCAATAATAATCATGGTATTACATAGAAAGAGTATACATATATTTATTATTTAATTTTAGTTAGATCTAATCTATATTTTAATACTTGAACATATCAAAAAACGGATAGATTACATTAGAAGAATTTGAAAAATAATGGACAAGTGCTGAATAATAAATTTAATAAGAACAAAATAGATAGTAATTCTAAAAATAGAAACAATAAGTCTAATCTTATATTTAAACAAATTAATAACTAAAATCTTCAATCATATAAAAATCTTCATTATAAAAATCAGGATCTGCCTAATAGTTTTCAGA